CGTTTTAAAACTGACAAAACTTACTATATTATGTTTGGTAGCAGAGCAGGGATGCACAAATTAACATTAAGATCGACAAACTCTAATTACCAGACATAATGAGGGCAAATTCCTAGGCCTTACCTTGACAACAACCTGAATTTCAGCACCCATATCCAACACATAACCAAAAAAGTATCCAAACGGTTGGGATCCTCTCCAAGATACGATACTACTTGCCACAAAAGCCCTTTCTACACTATACCCCTCACTTTTTATCCATACCTCACCTATGCTATTTGTGCTTGGGGAAACAACTGCAGCAACACACCTAAAGCCAATAATAACCCAACAAAAGCTGCAGTAAGAATAATCACTAAATCCCATCCCTGGCAACACACCCCCCACTCTTCATAGATCTAAACTTACTCCCCTGTTCATACATCCCACTTACTTTCTGTGCAATCTACATCTACAGGACCTTAAACTCCAATATCAACCCTTTACTAAAACGCTTTTGATAGTTGTGACAGAACCACAGGCATAACACCAACACAAAACATCTCTACGACATTCCCCGTGTCCGACTAAAACCTTTACAAAAATTCAATGTATGTCAAAGGCCTAAAATCTGGAAACCCTACCTGAGAACTCTAGAACTGCAGACACATTCATCACCTTCAAAACTACCATTAGAAAAAATCTTACTCCCCGATACACCCCTCAACTAACTACACGAATACCACCTGGTGGTTCACACTTACATCACTCACCCATTTGACCATAAACAAAAATATTAATCTCAATCTTAAAATAATGAATCCCATGATACTCCAATACTGAAACTATGTACTGTGCCAAAACAAAAGCATTCACATTGCTAAACTCACAAACTAGTATTTAGTCACTTAGCCATAATACCAACTTACCTTACGGTGCCCGGTGGCCTGGTGGCTAAAGCTCCCGCTTCACACACGGAGGGCCCGGGTTCGATTCCCGGCGGGTGGAAACATTCGACACGTTTCCTTACACCTGTTGTCCTGTTCACCTAGCAGCAAATAGGTACCTGGGTGTTAGTCGACTGGTGTGGGTCGCATCCTGGGGGACAAGATTAAGGACCCCAATGGAAATAAGTTAGACAGTCCTCGATGACGCACTGACTTTCTTGGGTTATCCTGGGTGGCTAACCCTCCGGGGTTAAAAATCCGAACGAAATCTTATCTTATCTTACCTCATAATTTGTAATATTTTAAAATAAAGAATTAAATTAAGTCTGCCCGAAATGCCTAGCCATGCTAGGTGTTCTAGTGGTACACTCTGTAATCATTATTTAACTACATGTAACCCACACAACAACCAAATTCTGTAAATTCAACATTGTAATCTTTATAGAGAATAAACTTTGAATTTGAATTTGAATTTGAATGAAGGTACATGGCGTCCCATGAAGGTACATGGCGTCCCATGAAGGTACATGGCGTCCCATGAAGGTACATGGTGTCCCATGAAGGTACATGGCGTCCCATGAAGGTACATGGTGTCCCTTGATGGGACATGGCGTCCCATGAAGGTACATGGCGTCCCATGAAGGTACATGGTGTCCCTTGAAGGTACATGGCGCCCCATGAAGGTACATGGCGTCCCATGAAGGTACATGGCGTCCCATGAAGGTACATGGCGTCCCATGAAGGTACATGGTGTCCCTTGAAGGTACATGGCGTCCCATGAAGGTACATGGCGTCCCATGAAGGTACATGGTGTCCCATGAAGGTACATGGCGTCCCATGAAGGTACATGGCGTCCCATGAAGGTACATGGCGTCCCATGAAGGTACATGGTGCCCCATGAAGGTACATGGCGTCCCATGAAGGTACATGGTGTCCCATGAAGGTACATGACGTCCCATGAAGGTACATGGCGTCCCTTGAAGGTACATGGCGTCCCATGAAGGTACATTGCGTTCCATGAAGGTAATCTGTAAATACCTTTGTAACTTGTCATGATTGTGACCAGACTTACCTGGAGTTCATTACCTTTGTAAATTGTGAGTTCATTACCTTTGTAAATTGTGAGTTCATTACCTTTGTAAATTGTGAGTTCATTACCTCTGTAACTTGCTCAGCTATCAAAACTTTGGAGTCCAGTCCCTGGACCAATTATGTACCTCTGTAATACAGGATGGGTATGGGGTGCATAATAAACATATTAAACTAAACTGAAGGTACATGGCGTCCCATGAAGGTACATGGCGTCCCTTGAAGGTACATGGCGTCCCATGAAGATAGATACATGGCGTTTCATGAAGGTACATGGCGTCCCATGAAGGTACATGACGTCCCATGAAGGTACATGGCGTCCCATGAAGGTACATGGCGTCCCATGAAGGTACATGGCGTCCCATGAAGATACATGGTGTCCCCTTGAAGGTACATGGTGTCCCATGAAGGTACATGGCGTCCCATGAAGGTACATGGCGTCCCATGAAGGTACATGGCGTCCCCTTGAAGGTACATGGCGTCCCATGAAGGTACATGGTGTCCTCTTGAAGGTACATGGTGTCCCATAAATGTACATGGCATCCCATTACCTGGAGAGGGTTTCGGGGGTCAACGCCCCCGCGGCCCGGTCTGAGACCAGGCGTCATGGTGGATCAGGGTCTGATCAACCAGGCTGTTACTGCTGGCCGCACGCAAGCTGACGTACGAACCACAGCCCGGTTGGTCAGGTACTGACTTTAGGTGCCTGTCCAGTCTTGGGCCCTGGACACGTATTGTGTTGTCTCTCAGTGTAATCGTGGCATCAATGAAGGTACATGACGCCCCATGAAGGTACATGGTGTCCCATGAAGGTACATGGCGTTCCATGAAGGTACATGACGTTCCATGAAGGTACATGGTGTCCCATGAAGGTACATGGCGTCCCTTGAAGGTACATGGCGTCCCATGAAGGAACATGGTATCCCATGAAGGTACATGGCGTCTCTTGAAGGTACATGGCGTCCCATGAAGGAACATGGCGTCTCATGAAGGTACATGGCATCCCATGAAGGAACATGGCGTCCCACGAAGGAACATGGCGTCCCATGAAGGAACATGGCGTCCCATGAAGGTACATGGCATCCCATGAAGGAACATGGCGTCCCATGAAGGAACATAGCGTCCCATGAAGGTACATGGTGTCCCATGAAGGGACATGGCTTCCCATGAAGATAAATGGCGTTCCACAGCAGCAAGTCTTGGGCCCCTTGCTCAAAAAAATATTAAATTAAATCCTACAATTTTTAAAGTGGTGGATGGGTAAGCCAGTGGAAGGCCTCGGTCAGATGACCAAAAGCTTCAGCTGTGGGTCATCATATGACTAAGACCCGCGCCAGGAAACACTTGTCCTGTTTCCTGAAGAACCTTACCTAACCTAACCTAACCTAACCTAACTTAACCTAAATTAACCTAACCTAACCTTACCTAACCTAACCTTACTCAAAATTTACACCAACAATCTACATAACTCTAAATTGAGTTTCAATATGTTCTGAATAAGCTAAGAATATGAAATTTGGTTCGAATTATTAACTTAGAGTCAGTAATTTAGGATAACTTAGTCAGAGGGAACTATTTCCACTGGAGTCCTTAAATCTTGTCCCCCAGGATGCGACCCACAACAATCTACTAACACCCAGGTACCTACTTCATCACACAAGCATATATGAAAACAAGACAGCAGTGGCTGGGTGTCCTTAATAAGGCTAACAGGTGGATTACATTTATGTAAAAAATGTAAATAACAACAGATTCTTCACCTGCAGAGTGAACTTCGTCAGTCTTATATAGAGAACAAAAAAGGCAAAATACTGTGACTGGAACAATGGATATAATTCACCTTGACCTTTTTCGGGGGTTACCCTAGGTAATCTACACATTTGCTGTATGATAATTTATGTAACTGTATTTATGTGTACCTGTACCTTCATAAACTTACCCACACATTAGAGAAATTCATTACAACGTTCCGCCCCGACTTTGACCATTTACAAGTAACACTAACACTGGTTCCCTCACCTTCGTGTGTTAGTGTGACTTATAAATGGTACAAGTACAATAGTCATACATAGTAACATATGTGTATTTTATCTAGTTTAGCTAAAGATAAAGTCAGATTTATTTCGATTAGAGTCCTAGAGCCACACTGCTCTGACTTACCTCCGTTATTAACCATCCAAGAATAATAGTCCAAAGGGAGTCTTATAGAGTATGTAAAGTAATTTAGTTGTTATTATAACACAGACATGACTGCCTTGAGAAATATATGGAGAAGGATGCCCGAGTTAATTCCTTGTAATACATCTTTAGTATGAAGATAGGTTAAGAGCACTGAATATACATTTTCTAGAAAGGAGTAGGACTGGAAGATATAAAGTGTTCAAATGGAAAATATGAATTAATTTACATGTAATTAGTGTTCACAATATGTAATTAAGGGAATTCGTAACAATGGATTTAAGTTGGATGAAATTAGGTTAAGGATAGTTACAGGAAAACTCGGACTTGACAACAGAATTGTAGATGAGTGGAACAAACTTTTAAATACCTTCAGTGATGGGAACACCTTGGATAGTTTTAAAAATAGGTTAGAGAAATGCAAAAGTAGAGAATTGGGTGGGAGGACCTGCCTAGTGTGGATTAACAGACCAACTGCAGGGCTCTTTTAGCCTTATATACCTAAGTATAAACTGTTATCAATGGTTAAAATTATAACCATAATTTTTAAAGCAGTAGAAGGGTAAGCCAGTGGAAGGCCTCGGTCAGATGACCAAAAGCTCCAGCTGCGGGGTGATCATATGACTAAGACCCCGTCAGGAAACACTTATCCTATTTGCTAACAAACCTAGTCAACTTAAGAAAGTAAACTAGTGGCCAGTACAGGGAGATGCTGCAGTTTGAAGCAATATCAGGTTTGAAAGGGCCGCCGGCACCAGACAAACGGGAGAATGAAGACGTGTGTAGACTAGCCCAGCCAGGCTGACAAAGTCTCGCCTTAATTCTCTGATCTCTGCATCACGATTATAGTAATGCTGTGGATTATATGTTTTATCGGACAAGTGGTCTTTACGGGGTAGCATACGCTGCATAATTTTTCTCTATCAATTTTTGCATATGGGTATGGACTTATGCATTATTGGAACCATTTGTGAGAGAGTGAGGAGGAATGGAGATGTGGAGGTGATGCACGCTCCACACACAACAGGCGACGCCCTCTTGTGTTTAGTGATGAAGATGGGGCGTTATAGGGTACTTGGGCCGGTCTAGTGGGCGTGTAGTGTAGTAAGTGTGGGCGTGGGCGCCTGAGGTGAGATGGCGTCCCCAGGCCCGCGCCCCGACACCCATCAAGATCCTCCTGCGGCTGCTGCTGCTGCTCCTCCAGCCTCTCCAGCAGCCATGGCAGGCGCCGCGGCTGCAGTCAGCCCACAGAAGTCGTCACAGCAGCAAGGGCAGCCATTTGAACCACTAGACAAGTCCGCCAGCCAGACGGTGAAGGTGAGGACGTCCCCATCAGGAGGGGCGCTGCTCACTCCAACACCTCTCTCATATTCCTTCACTAACCACTCCACCCGAGGATACCTAACATCCCATAACCTCTAAAATCAAACTATACAATCCATTCTTTATCAGTAATGTAAAAAAAAAGATCTTTGGCATAATGGAGGCGGGATCAGAAGGGCTGGTCTTCAGTATTTGTTGACAGTCACATGTACTATCATGAATACTAAATTATTTCTGCCATGCTTCCCTGTGTTGTGTACCATTCTTGTACTTTGTATTGTCATGTAATTACATGTATGTGATTACCTGTTTGTAGCTACAGGAGGAGAGATGTTCACACGGGAGTTTTATGATGGATCATCCTCGTACGGAAATAATTTCAACTGTTTCAACCAACTGTCTTGTGGCCTTTTCTCTTTCTCACTCACTTGTGACTTGACAATGGCCCAGAGCCTGGCGAAACGTCGTCATAATGCTCCTCTCATCGAGTCTGATGGTTGTACTTATGCGTATTATTATTATAATCAAGGGGAAGCGCTAAACCCGGAGGATTATACAGCGCCTGGGGGGGATGTGGAAGGCATTCAGGCTTAATTCGGGGAACTGGATTACAGATCCAATTCCCTAAATCAAGAGCCCCTCACCAACATCAAGGAACCTTCCTTGAGGGGTACTTATGTGTAGCTGTACCTAAATAAGCTTAATAATTATCCTGCTGCTTTAACTTATGGGGTCACAGTACCTAGGTAATGGGACTTTGACTTATATTATCCGACCTTTAATCTTCATAGTTTGTCATGGCCCACTATTGGGCTCTTGATCCAAGGAACTACACTTTTTTCCCCTTCCCTAAATGACTCCCATTACCCAGGTACCCCTCAAGGGATGTTCCTTGATGCTCTTCATCCAGGGAATTGGATCAGTCCTCCAGTTCCCTGACTTGAGCCTGAATACCTTCCATTCCCCCCCCCACCATATGTGCTGTATAATCCTATGAGTTTAGTGCTCCCCCATGATTATAATTACCCAGGTACTGTGATACCCCCCCATGAGTTTAGTGCTTCCCATTGATTAAAATAAATACGGTTTATAGAAAGAGTTAAAGCAGAGGTATAATTAGATTAGTAAGTTTATATAGGTACAGGTGCACTACAGTATAATTATCATGCATAGTTTAACATATATATGTAAATTACCTACAATAACCCAAAAAAGTCATTTAATACCAACAGGTTAGTGAATAAGACACCTGTATAACACCTGAGTATATATGTTGAGAGATGTTTTGCCCACCAGGGGCCTTGTTAATCCAATTATTACTAAGCCCTGGTGAGTGAAACATCTCAGAGATAGTTTACCTGGAGTTTACCTGGAGAGAGTTCCGGGGGTCAACGCCCCCGCGGCCCGGTCAGGTGAGGCATGTCTTATTCTTAAAATAACAGTCTGTGGGCCAGTAGGCCTACTGCAGTGCTATATTATGTTTATAAAGATTTTAGACCAGAATAAATTTTACTTTTTAGCTATGTATTGGGAAGAAGGTATGACATTAGTATTTCTCTAGAGTGTCATGTGCATGGTCAGGAATGAGTGGGACATGTCTTAGCTTGAGTTGATAGGCCTACTGCTGTACTCTAAATTTGCTTATTTTGTGTTTAAAGGATAAATATATAAAACTGTTATAAAAACTAGTATGTTTGAGTACTTTTCACAGTAGATGAGCAATATATGAGTGGCAGTAACTGGATTTAGTAAGATCTATCACATTTTCAGTAGGCATACTGCAGTGCTGTTTGCTTGTTCTGTTTACAATAAGCAATTGTTATGTGGAACAAGTTGTTAAGTGCAGTAGTCAGTGCAGGTAATACATTGGGTTCCTTTCAGAGTAGACTAGACAGATATATGAGTGAGAATGGTAAGGAAAGATTAAGACCTATGTAGCATGGGCCACCAGGCCTGCTGTAGTGTCTGTCTATTCTTTTCTTATGTATAAAGTTGCTTTGTGGAACCATTGCCACCTCAATAGGTGAATGGATAAATAGTACAATTAAACTAGTTACAGAACACACACAATGATAAAAATATATATTTACCCCATGAAAAATTAAAATAAGGGAGAAGTGTAAACATGGAAAATGGGAATAAATGAAGAGAATATAAAAACAGTCCTGAAGTAAGTTTATTTAGGCATAGATACACATTAGTACAGTTATCATACATAATGTCAATTACCTAGGATAACCCAAAAAAGTCAGGGTGATTTATTTCCATTGGGGTCCTTGTATTTCCAGACAGATACTCATAGCAGTGAATTTAATTTTAGTAAGTTTGGATTGAGAAAGGATTCAGCAGAGCACTTACTGGCAGTAGAAATGTAGATGTTTAGAACTAACTTTAAATATTCAGATAAACTTTATTTAGGAAATCTACATATGATTTTACAGACAGTAGTAGAAATTTGTACAATAATTCTGGAGACCCATGAATGTTGTAAACATACATTGATAAAATGTAATGGACATTTGTCAGTGCTCAATTATAACCCATATGAATACAGAAACTCAGAAGATGAGTTGAAGGGAATTGAAATATACAGGTCAGTTAATCTGAGTTTGTCTCCATGTGGGTCATTGTCGAGCATACATTGATAAATTATGTACGTAGATTGAAAATTGGATTGTTCAGCAAAATCCAGTTGATCTCTATTGGGTCTTTGGGCAAATGCAGAAGTGAGAATAGATAAATGTATGAGAATAGGTTGGTGTAACACCTGCCTAGCATAGGTTAGTAAGCTTACTGAAGTGCTCCAGTGGGCTTCCTTACCTTTGATATACCTTTGATGAGTTGCAAGACTCTACTCCCAGAGCACAGCCATAGGCCAGGCTCGTTTGGTCAACCAGGCTGTTGCTGCTGGTGGCCTACTGCTCCACATATCCATCACAGCCTGGTGAAGATACTTGTCCAGTTTCCTCTTAAAGACTTCTATATTTATCCCAGAAGTGTTTCTGATATCCTCTGGTATGATGTTGAATAATCTGAGCCCATGGATTTTGATAGTGTTTCCTTATTGTGTCGACCACTGTACGCTTCTTGAGTGCAAGCCTATCATTCAGCTAGTTGATTTTGATAACCACTGTACTGCTTTATAATCAATATACATAAGTACAAAATTAAAACATAATTACATTATTAGCATAAAAGATACACCTCCATAATTAGCATAAATTACTACATTTTTAGCAAGTATAAGTACTGTACCATATTGCTAGTACAGTAGGAGTATGAAGAGTTGTGGCCCATGACTATTTTATTTGTTTTGGTAATCTCGGGCTGTTTTCACACTTTCATAATTTTGACTTGAGCTATTTCTAATATGTTATATGTAACCCCATGGAAGAGTGTGACTTACCTCTGGGTGAGGTTAAATTACATAATCGATTGCACTAAACTTGCAGTGCTCATTTAGCTCTCCATGGTAAGGGTGTACCTGGAGGGTGTTCTGGGGGTCAATGCCCCCACAGCCCGGTCCATGACCAAGCCTTGCAGTGGATCAGGGCCTGGCTGACATCAGGAAAAGTCATGCCGTAAATAGAATCTGCATTAAAAGTGGAGCTTTCAGAGGGGAGGGTAGAGATTAAGCAAGCATGCCGGGGCATAGATGGAGAGGTTTAAATAAAGTTGGTGTACTCTCTGATAAACTTGCAAATTTATTTCCAAGATGTTGAACTGCCAGTTCTCACAATGGACATAGGGGAGTCAGGTGTGACTAATGTACATTCACAACGGCAGAGTTTCCAACAACCAATAACGCTACAATGAGGATGGCTAGAGGTTCAGTTGCATTTTGATTAAAAAAAAAAAAGCTTGTGAATCATCATTTCACTTATTTTTGCCATTTCACTTATTTTTTTTTTTTCAAGGACTGAATTTTTGGAAGTTTCTCTTCTCTAGGTATTGGTGTTAAAAAATCTGCTGTATTGGTTTCTCAGGCCTTAAATTAAGTACTGTAGTGATATTCCTAGGATTGCATCTAGTTAAATACCTTACAGGTTTAGTGCTTGGTTATGATTAATAATAATCAAATACCTGTAACTTAAATATGACCATGTTTAGATATCGTTGTAAATTACTGCAAATAGACTTTGGATCAGGATAACTAGAACAGTTTGGAAAATAAAGTAATTTACAGTGAACATGTGGTAGTTCAGAGGAAAAATTACTTTCTCATACTCCCTTTTCTTACCCTACCTTTCCTTCCTCCCCCTTTCTCTTCGTCAGGTTTCTTCTCTGTATTTTCTTTATTGATTTCTCTATTTTTTTCCAATTGTTTTTCTTTACTTTTATCACTTTTCACATCTTTATTACTTCTCTTTGCTTTCTTCCTTTAATTCTTACAACTTTCTTCTATTATTTCTCATGTCTACTGTTGCTTCTATTTTGTATCTTTTCTCTCCTATTGGTTTTTTATTTTTTATCTTCTGTCTTCTATATTTACCTTTCATCCTACTTATCCCATTTTTTTTATCATCATCTTTCTTACCTAACTTTTTTATTTATTCCTTCGCTTGTTTCTGAGTGTTGTCTTCTCCTATATATCATTTTGTCCCCCCTGCACCATATTTTACTTAAAACTTTTATTTTTCACACTGTTATGCATACTCCTCCCTCCCTTGGCCGTCCTTCAACAATTACTTATCTTCCACAAACGTTGGAAAGGGCACGCTGATGATGTTAGGCAATTGAATGCCATACATGGTATATGATATTTGTAAATGTCAGTGCATGTAATCTTTGCTGCTTTCGTGACTGGCTGGCATTCTCCTTGACCTTAACTTCTGGTGGGTATTTGTTGTAGAATTCATGACTAAAATTACTGTTATGAATTTAATACTATACACTATGAATACACAGTGGTACCTCGAGTTTCGAACAGCTTCCAACTCGAACAATTATGTAAGTGTATTTTTGTAAGTGCTTTTGTAAGTGTATTTTTGGGGGTCTGAAACGGACTAATCTAATTTACATTATTTCTTATGGGAACAAATTTGTTCGGTATCAGCACTCGAACAGCCTTCTGTAACGAATTAAATTCGTAACTCGAGGTACCACTGTACGTACATGGAAGGGTGGACGAGGGGCTTGAACTGTGGTCCATAAATTGACCGTTGGTTATTACAACTTAGAGTTTACCATACATTACATGTATTAATGTTTTCTTTTTATGAAGACTTTTTAAACCCCAACTCTAATGGGGATGTTATACAGTATATTAGATTTTATCGATATGTACATTCCTATGTTTAGGGTGTAGGCAAGGATGGCATGTCCATTTAGTTTTTTCTAATCAAAAGAACATTAGAGTTGATCATTCTAATATGTAGTTCATTTTTTTGGTGGGTAATGATGGTTTTTAGGTGATAGTTATTATAGAGGCCCATGCAGATACTATAAGTGAACGTATGAAAGAAGGAGCACTGCAAGAGGTCTGCTGGTCCATGCTAGTCAGGTCCTAGTTATCTACTGGCCCAAGCCAGTCAGGTCCATCTCATACCCACTAGTGTATTTGTCTTGCCTATTTTTTTTAAACTACGCAAAGTTTTAACTTAATGATGTTACTCGGGAGTTTGTTCCACTCATCCACTATATCCTTTCTAAATCTAAATTTTTCCAACTTGAACCTATTGCTATGAGTCCTGTCTTGGTTAGATAATTTTAGCACGTTATTTACCGCCCCGTTATTTATTCCTGTTTTCCATTTATACACTTCAGTCATGTCTCCCCTAATTCTATGCCTTTCAGGAGAGTGCAGATTTAAGGCCTCCAGTCTATCCTTGTAGGAAAGATTCCTGATACATGAGATCAACTTTGTCATCCTTCTTTGTACGTTCTACAGCTCATTTATATCCATTCTGTAATAGTGACCAAAACTGTGCAACATAATTTAAATGAGGCCTAACTGGTGATATATAGAGTTGAAGAATAACCTGAGGACTCTTGTTATTTATACGTACTTCTTGATATGAAGTCGAGAATTTTATTTGCTTTATTGCAAACACTTAGCCACTGTTGTCTTGATTTTAGATTTCTGCAAACCAGAACTCCTAAATTTTTTTTTTGCAATCAGTGATATTAAGATCTATATTATTTAGTGTATATGTGTCATGATTATTTTTCTTTCAAACACATAGGAACGTATAAATTAGTTAGTGGTACAAAGTGAGTAATGTTTATGGTTCATAGCATATATTTTTTAAAAGAATGCCCGGACACTGTACGTATTTAGATATTTTTCTTAGATATGTGTTGGTTCCTAGGTAGTAGGTTGGTAGACAGCAACCGCCCAGGGAGGTACTACCATCCTGCCAGGTGAGTGTAAAACGAAAGCCTATACAGTGGACCCCCGCATACCACACGCATCGCATACCGTACAATCCGCATACCGCTCGCTTTTTTCGCAAAAATTTTGCCTCGCATACCGCCCAAAAACCCGCTCATCGCCCTTCGTCCGAGACGCGTCCAATGTGCGGCCTGAGCCACACTCACATGTTCCGCCGGTGGCATTGTTTACCAGCCAGCCTCCGCGGTAACATCCAAGCATACAATCGGAACATTTCGTATTATTACAGTGTTTTTGGTGATTTTTTCTGGAAAATAAGTGACCATGGGCCCCAAGAAAGCTTCTAGTGCCAACCCTACAGCAATAAGGGTGAGAATTACTATAGAGATGAAGAAAAAGATCATTGATAAGTATGAAAGTGGAGTGCGTGTCTCCGAGCTGGCCAGGTTGTATAATAAATCCCAATCAACCATCGCTACTATTGGTGGTACAGCTGCTGCTGTACCACCGTCAGCTGCTGCTGCACTGTCAGCTGCTGCTGCACTGTCAGCTGCTGCTGCTGTTGTACCACCGTCAGCTGCTGCTGCTGCTGTAGCATCGTCTGCTGCTGCTGCTGTAGCATCGTCTGCTGCTGCTGTAGCATCGTCTGCTGCTGCTGTAGCATCGTCTGCTGCTGCTGTAGCATCTTCTGCTGCTGCTGTAGCATCATCTGCTGCTGCTGTAGCATCGTCTGCTGCTGCTGTAGCATCGTCTGCTGCTGCTGTAGCATCGTCTGCTGCTGCTGTAGCATCGTCTGCTGCTGCTGTAGCATCGTCTGTTGCTGCTGTACCACCGTCAGCTGCTGCTGCTGCTGCTGTAGCACCGTTGTTGGTGTGGCTTATTGAGAATACCAAGAAACAATTAACCCCAGAGGATTTGCCACCCAGGATAACCCAAAAAAGTCAGTGTCATCGAAGACTGTCTAACTTATTTCCATTGGGGTCCTTAATCTTGTCTCCAGGATGCAACCCACACCAGTCGACTAACACCCAGGTGAACAGGGAAAAATGCCTGGAACTAGTGCTCATATTGGTGAATTTAAAGCCAGCAAAGGTTGGTTTGAGAGATTTAAGAATCGTAGTGGCATACACAGTGTGATAAGGCCTGTTCTGGAAGAAAATGCCAAACAGGACCTACAGTACTCAGGAGGAAAAGGCACTCCCAGGACACAGTGTCTCATCAGTCATTGCTGCATCTTCAATAAAGGTAAGTGTCATTTATTCTTCATTTAGTAGAGTAGTACATGCACAATATATATTGTGCATGTACTACTCTACTATTGTGCATGTATCCTTCTCTTTGTGTGTAGGAAAATGTATATTTCATGTGGTAAACATTTTTGTTTCATACTTTTGGGTGTCTTGCACGGATTAATTTGATTTCCATTATTTCTTATGGGGAAAATTCATTCGCATACCGAACATTTCGCATAACAATCAGCCCTCTTGCACGGATTAAAGTCGCTATGCGGGGGTCCACTGTAATTGTTTTACATGATGGCAGGATTGCTGGTGTCCATTTTTCTGTCTCATAAACATGCAAGATTTCAGGTACGTCTTGCTACTTCTTCTTACACTTAGGTCACACTACACTTATATGTACAAGCATATACATGTAGTATATATATATATACACACCCCTCTGGGTTTTCTTCTATTTTCTTACTAGTTCTTGTTCTTGTTTATTTCCCCTTATCTCCATGGGGAAGTGGAACAGAATTCTTCCTCCGTAAGCCATGCGTGTTGTAAGAGGCGACTAAAATGCCGGGAGCAAAGGGCTAGTAATCTCTTCTCCTGTATAAATTACTAAATTTAAAACGAGAAACTTTCATTTTTCTTTTTGGGCCACCCTGCCTCGGTGGGATATGGCCAGTTTGCTGAAAAAAAAAATGTGTTGGTTGTGAGTGTTGAATTTCAGGTTGCAGTTAACTCTTTGAGGGTCCGTCCCGTAGATCTATGGCTTTACGTTCAGGGTCCAAACCGTAGATCTACGTCATGAGCTCAGCTCACTCTGATAAACTGTGAGTGGTACATTTGGGCCTAGATATGAGAGAATACATCTATGTGGTATGTGTGCACCACATAAAACAGATCCTGCAGCACGCTGTGTATAATGAGAGAAAAAAAACTGAAATCATGATTTTTCGATTAACACAGCGACTTTGCAGTGTTTTTTCGTATGTTTTTTATAGTTCTATTTGCGATTTCTTGGTCTCATTTGATAGAATGGAAGACATATTACAGAAATAAAGATGATTTTGATTGGGTTTAGCACTGGAAATGGCATGAAACTGAGCTCAAAGTAGCAGAAATGTTAAATTTTTGCCGATATTCAAGAGTAAACAAACGACCTCACATGTCTAATACACGTCGGCTGGTGGGTCAAATATGCATTCACAAATATGGTGATGATATTTATACAATTATTACAGTATTGCATAACAGTAAATCTTCTATTTTTTGGTGTGAATAAAAATTCATTATGTGAATAAAAAATCAAAATGGAATTTATTTGTAACGCCTCAAAATGTAACTAATGAACAGAGGAAATGTTAGTTTAGTTCCAGGAATACCTACATTGTTTATTCTGGACCCTATTTCGAAATTGGAATATTTTGAACTTTGTGTAAAATTGGCCAAATTAACAATTTCTGATCACTTTAATTTGTAGTTGAAACAGTTGACTTGGCGATTTCTTGTGCTCAATCGATAGAATAGAAGTAATACTAGTGAAATAGCTAAGAATTTGGTTGACTGGAATAATGTAATTGGCCTAAAATGGGAGTCAAAGTCGGCAAAATCGCCGATTCGTAAATATCGCTGACACATCAAAATTCGCGAGAGCATAATTTCGTCAATTTTCCATCAAATTTCGTACTTTTTGTTTTATTACCTTCGCAAAAAGATTCTCTACCATTTCACAAGAAAAAATAACAAATTTTTTTTTTTTTGAAAATTCTTGGACACTGGGGCACCACTTCAGATTTGGGCCTTGGACCCTGAAGGGGTTAAGGTGTATTACTAAATTTAAAAAGAATTTTTTTTTTTTTTTTTTTTTTTTTTTTTTTTGTCACCATGCCTCGGTGGGATATGGCCAGTGTGTTAAAAAAAAAAAAGTCAGGGTGTATACCTAAAGGATTTTTTCTTGTCTTTCTATAAGTAAAGGTTTATAAATAATAAATCATAGTAAAGTACAATAATAAAAAAACCTAAAGTTCGGTGTACGCTAACTAATTACATCATTCTGTTTTTCATTTCAGCTAAACCCCAAATTGGAGTTGAGCCGCAATGATCTTCTCAGATTGCTTTCCTACATGGAGGGTGAGCTCCAGTCGAGAGATGTTGTTATTGCAACCCTCAAGGTACGCTCTGTAATTATCTCATACCTAAGTTGTTAAGATTTACACACTTTGTATTTTTGTTCAGATAAAATGTTGTACATGTATTTAATATTTTGAATTTAAATGGTGTTTATCATGGACTGAATTACTACAGTTTTTACAAATTTCAGTATTAATTTTGTTTCTTTCGAATTAGTCTTTGCTCACAAATGTGAACTTTCATATGGTGTATAGAAATATGCATACAGGTGCTCCTCGACCTATGATGGGGTTACATTCCGACGAACCCGTTTTAAGTAAAAAATATTGCAGGTCTACTATGAATACGATGTGCTAAATAAATAAGTAAATAAATAACTACTGTCACTGAATAAAATTAATAAACAAATAATTACTGTGACTAAATACCAGTATTGAAAAGTAAATAAAGGAATACAGGTTACGGACTTGCCACCTTCATGCTGGGTAATTATCTTAAGTTTCATCTCCAAAGTACAGTGTAACCTCGGTAAGCGACCTTAATTCATTCTAGAAGGCTGTTCGAGTGCCGCTCCATTTGAGTATCGAACCAGTTCTTCCCAACCAATTTTCTCTTTGGTTGGCTGTTATCACTAATCGTCGTAGGCCCCCATGGTGACTTATACAAATAATAAAAAAAAAAAATGCGAAGAAACAGGAAATAGTTTACAGCGAAGTTCTGGCAGGTCATATTTGTTTGGTCAAGTGCTTGGCTTTGTTCGAGTAGAGAGCTGGTTATATACCGAGGTTCCGCTGTAATTGCTTTTACACCATCGTAAGGCTGAAATATCGTAAGTCAAGCCATCCTAAGTCGAGGAGCACCTGTTCGTAGATGGACGATTCTCATTATGGTGACATGGTCCAATAGATAGCACACTGGCTTATTAGTTCAAATCCCACCCGTTCTGTGATTTCTTTTACTGTATTTCGGCCTTTGCTATTATTTATCTCATTACGCTTCATTTCAACAAGTAACTTGTATTTTGCAGACCGAGCGAGTAAAGAACCTGCTACAGTATGGCCGAGTAGGATTGAGTGATCCATTTCTAGCTTTGCAACGTGACAGCATTGGGGGTTCTGTGGTACGGGGCGGCGGTGTCAATGAGAGTGAACTCAGAGCCTTAGAAGAGACACAGTTAGCGCAGCTAGAACACCTGATTGCTCAACAACGCAAAGCACACCAGAGGATGCGTCATGTCTTGAGAGAAGCAGAGAAGGTAAACAGGAATTATAATTGGTTTTGCCTGTCATGTGTTCTTGGCATGTTGGATTGGAGCAGAGTAGAGTGGCTTATGAGATTTGTTGTGCTGTTACTGAGTGAGCAAGGCGACATTATGAGGGACTTGGAAAAACCTGTTAGATGGACTTTAGTTCCTTGTGTTTAGAAAATACCTGTTAGATGGACTTCAGTTTCTTGTTTAGAAAAAGTGGTTAGATAGACTGTTTCTTGTACTTGTGATAACAGTGTGGTGTCTGCTTCATGTTATGGTTGGTTTGTTTTTCTGTTAAACGTAAATGGAGTTCTTTAGTGTTTTAGGTTTATTAGATGCAGTTTGTTAAAATGGATTATTGGTTAAAATGCATTTTTGAGAAAGTTTTCATTGACCATTGTGAACAGAAAATTGACTGTCTGTTTCTCTCCACAAGCGTCATTCTCGGGTGGTTGCAGAGCTTGAAGAGGAGAGACGGAAACACGAACATGATACTGCTCAGGGTGATGACGTTACATATGCACTGGAAAAGGACCGCACACGTTTAAAACAGGTGAGCAGACTAACCTTAAGTGCAAGTAATTTACCAAGCAGAATATTTACCACCTGTAATTGTTTTACATGATGGTAAGATTGCTAGTGTCTTTTTTCTGTCTCATAAACATGCAAGATTTTAGGTATGTCTTGCTAATTCTACTTACATTTAGGTCACACTACACATGCTTATACAAGCATATATATATGCACCCCTTTGGGTTTTCTTCTATTTTCTTACCTGTTCTTATTTAGCTCCTCTTATCTCCATGGGGAAGCAGAACAGAATTCTTCCTCCATAAACCATGAGTATCCTAAGACGCGACTAACATGCCGGGAGCAAGGAGCTAGTAACCTCCTCTTCTGTATACATTACTAAAGTTAAAAAGAGAAACTTTCATTTTTCTTTTTTGGTCACCCTGCCTTGGTGGGATACGACCGGTTTGTTGGAAAAAAAAAAATATGTATATATAGTATACTGTGTATATATATATATATATATTTTCTTATAGTCGGACTTGAGTCCTGGAAATGGGAAGTACAATGCCTGCACTTTAAAGGAGGGGTTTGGGATATTGGCAGTTTGGAGGGATATGTTGTGTATCTTTATACGTATATGCTTCTAAACTGTTGTATTCTGAGCACCTCTGCAAAAGCAGTGATAATGTGTGAGTGTGGTGAAAGTGTTGAATGATGATGAAAGTATTTTCTTTTTGGGGATTTTCTTTCTTTTTTGGGTCACCCTGCCTCGGTGGGAGACGACCGACTTGTTAAAAAAAAAAAAAAAAAAAATATGTATATATGTATATATATGTATATATATATATGTATATATATGTATATATGTCAAAGTGGGAAGTCTGAATGTGCATGGATGTTGTGCAGATGATAAGAAAGAGATGATTGTGGATGTTATGAATGAGAAGAAGCTGGATGTCCTGGCTTTAAATGAAACAAAGCTGAAGGGGGTGGGAGAGTTTCAGTGGAGAGGAATAAATGGGATTAGGTCAGGGGTTTCAAATAGAGTTAGAGCTAAAGAAGGAGTAGCAATAATGTTGAAGGATAAGCTATGGCAGGAAAAGAGGGACTATAAATGTATTAATTCATGGATTATGTGGAGTAAAATAAAGATTGGATGTGAAAAGTGGGTTATAATAAGCGTGTATGCACCTGGAGAAGAGAGAAGTGTAGAGGAGAGAGAGAGATTTTGGGAAATGTTGAGTGAATGCGTGGGGAGTTTTGAATCAAGTGTGAGAGTAATGGTGGTTGGGGATTTCAATGCTAAAGTGGGTAAAAATGTTATGGAGGGAGTAGTAGGTAAATTTGGGGTGCCAGGGGTAAATGTAAATGGGGAGCCTTTAATTGAGCTATGTGTAGAAAGAAATTTGGTAATAAGTAATACTTATTTTATGAAAAAGAGGATAAATAAATATACAAGGTATGATGTAGCACGTAATGAAAGTAGTTTATTAGATTATGTATTGGTGGATAAAAGGTTGATGGGTAGGCTCCAGGATGTACATGTTTATAGAGGGGCAACTGATATATCGGATCATTATTTAGTTGTAGCTACAGTTAGAGTAAGAGGTAGATGGGAAAAGAGGAAGGTGGCAACAACAAGTAAGAGGGAGGTGAAAGTGTATAAACTAAGGGAGGAGGAAGTTCGGGTGAGATATAAGCGACTATTGGCAGAAAGGTGGGCTAGTGCAAAGATGAGTAGTGGGGGGGTTGAAGAGGGTTGGAATAGTTTTAAAAATGCAGTATTAGAATGTGGGGCAGAAGTTTGTGGTTATAGGAGGGTGGGGGCAGGAGGAAAGAGGAGTGATTGGTGGAATGATGAAGTAAAGGGTGTGATAAAAGAGAAAAAGGTAGCTTATGAGAGGTTTTTACAAAGCAGAAGTGTTATAAGAAGAGCAGAGTATATGGAGAGTAAAAGAAAGGTAAAGAGAGTGGTGAGAGAGTGCAAAAGGAGAGCAGATGATAGAATGGGAGAGGCACTGTCAAGAAATTTTAATGAAAATAAGAAAAAATTTTGGAGTGAGTTAAACAAGTTAAGAAAGCCTAGGGAAAATATGGATTTGTCAGTTAAAAACAGAGTAGGGGAGTTAGTAGATGGGGAGATGGAGGTATTGGGTAGATGGAGAGAATATTTTGAGGAACTTTTAAATGTTAAGGAAGAAACAGAGGCAATAATTTCATGCACTGGTCAGGGAGGTATACCATCTTTTAGGAGTGAAGAAGAGCAGAATGTAAGTGTGGGGGAGGTACGTGAGGCATTACGTAAAATGAAAGGGGGTAAAGCAGCTGGAACTGATGGGATCATGACAGAAATGTTAAAAGCAGGGGGGGATATAGTGTTGGAGTGGTTGGTACTTTTGTTTAATAAATGTATGAAAGAGGGGAAGGTACCTAGGGATTGGCAGAGAGCATGTATAGTCCCTTTATATAAAGGGAAAGGGGACAAAAGAGACTGTAAAAATTATAGAGGAATAAGCTTACTGAGTATACCAGGAAAAGTGTACGGTAGGGTTATAATTGAAAGAATTAGAGGTAAGACAGAATGTAGGATTGCGGATGAGCAAGGAGGTTTTAGAGTGGGTAGGGGATGTGTAGATCAGGTGTTTACATTGAAGCATATATGTGAACAGTATTTAGATAAAGATAGGGAAGTTTTTATTGCATTTATGGATTTAGAAAAGGCATATGATAGAGTGGATAGAGGAGCAATGTGGCAGATGTTGCAAGTATATGGAATAGGTGGTAAGTTATTAAATGCTGTAAAGAGTTTTTATGAGGATAGTGAGGCTCAGGTTAGGGTGTGTAGAAGAGAGGGAGAATACTTCCCGGTAAAAGTAGGTCTTAGACAGGGATGTGTAATGTCACCATGGTTGTTTAATATATTTATAGATGGGGTTGTAAAGGAAGTAAATGCTGGGTGTTTGGGAGAGGGGTGGGATTAAATTATGGGGAATCAAATTCAAAATGGGAATTGACACAGTTACTTTTTGCTGATGATACTGTGCTTATGGGAGATTCTAAAGAAAAATTGCAAAGGTTAGTGGGTGAGTTTGGGAATGTGTGTAAAGGTAGAAAATTGAAAGTGAACATAGAAAAGAGTAAGATGATGAGGGTGTCAAATGATTTAGATAAAGAAAAATTGGATATCAAATTGGGGAGGAGTATGGAAGAAGTGAATGTTTTCAGATACTTGGGAGTTGACGTGTCGGCGGATGGATTTATGAAGGATGAGGTTAATCATAGAATTGATGAGGGAAAAAAGGTGAGTGGTGCGTTGAGGTATATGTGGAGTCAAAAAACGTTATCTATGGAGGCAAAGAAGGGAATGTATGAAAGTATAGTAGTACCAACACTCTTATATGGGTGTGAAGCTTGGGTTGTGAATGCAGCAGCGAGGAGACGGTTGGAGGCAGTGGAGACGTCCTGTTTAAGGGCAATGTGTGGTGTAAATATTATGCAGAAAATTCGGAGTGTGGAAATTAGGAGAAGGTGTGGAGTTAATAAAAGTATTAGTCAGAGGGCAGAAGAGGGGTTGTTGAGGTGGTTTGGTCATTTAGAGAGAATGGATCAAAGTAGAATGACATGGAAAGCATATAAATCTATAGGGGAAGGAAGGAGGGGTAGGGGTCGTCCTCGAAAGGGTTGGAGAGAGGGGGTAAAGGAGGTTTTGTGGGTAAGGGGCTTGGATTTCCAGCAAGCGTGCGTGAGCGTGTTAGATAGGAGTGAATGGAGACGAATGGTACTTGGGACCTGACGATCTGTTGGAGTGTGAGCAGGGTAATATTTAGTGAAGGGATTCAGGGAAAACCGGTTATTTTCATATAGTCGGACTTGAGTCCTGGAAATGGGAAGTACAATGCCTGCACTTTAAAGGAGTGGTTTGGGATATTGGCAGTTTGGAGGGATATGTTGTGTATCTTTATACGTATATGCTTCTAAACTGTTGTATTCTGGGCACCTCTGCAAAAGCAGTGATAATGTGTGAGTGTGGTGAAAGTGTTGAATGATGATGAAAGTATTTTCTTTTTGGGGATTTTCTTTCTTTTTTGGGTCACCCTGCCTCGGTGGGAGACGGCCGACTTGTTGAAAAAAAAAAAAATGTACATGTATATATATATACACACGAGTGTGTCTGTATGTGTGTAGTGTAACCTCGGTGTAAGAATAAGTAGCAAAGATGTACCTATTATCTTGTGTATTTATGAGACAGAAAGAAAAGACACCAACAACCTTACTGTTGTGTAAAACCATTACAGGTGTCCATTTTACACATTTGGCAGGACTGTAGTACCTCCCTGACATACTTTCCACATAAAAGAAGCAAGCTGACATGACAAACCTACGTATAGTTTGCTTATTGGCTGGTCGTCATTAATCTTTTCCCTAAAATATTTTGTGAGTTAGGTTCTATAAGAGATTGATCGTGTTTGTGTTTTTGACTCTTTCATCGAACTTATTTTTGACCTCGGATGTTTCCAGACTTTTGAAGTACTATACAGTGTTTCATACTGAATACTAAACATTCTAAATTCTGTATACAATCCTTGTGAATTCTGAATTGCTGTCTTCTGGTTAATTGAACTTATATATAAGCAGGTTCACTAAGACTTTAGATAGCAAGTTCACAAAAAAATATGAACTCAGCCCTCTTTTATTTTAGTCATTAAAAGTTTTTGAGTTTTATAACATATTTTCTGATACTATGAGAATGAGAGGCGTAATTTGGCGGTGCCATTGTGACTTGCTCAGTGGCAGATGTGACAGTCGATTGTACTGTCTAGTACTCGGAAACTCACTATGGCTGATGGGTTGATCAGTTCTGCCTATTACTACCAGTTTATGCAAAACTTTTAAACTGGACTTTGAACATTGGGAATTAAAAATCCATGTGAAAAGTCAGGGTAAAGAATGGATCATCAAAAATTTTGTTTTACATTAAATTTCATGTGTTACCTTTGTATACAGTACTGTATTTTAAGTTATTTTTGTCATCACTGATAA